GTCAGTCCTTCTGCCTTCCTGTCCTTTTATTTCTCCTCTCTATTAGTCCCGCCTATCCTTCCTGCCTAGCCACAGCCGATCAGGTTTTATTTATTGATCAATCAGAACAACTTGACATACAGACCATCCCCCAGCACAGCCAAGTGCAGACCATCTCAGACACCTGCACTCAGGCCCATGGTCCTAATCATCCTCTATGCGGACCTGCTGGGTAATGCCACAAAGAACCCAAGAAGGGCTCCCACAGGACATACAGAACATCCCACAGCAAAGAACCCTGAGGAAGAGGAGGAGGAAGAGGGTGAGGCTGGGGAGCAGAGAGAACTCCCTGTAGTCCTGAGGTTTTGGGAAGTCTGAACAGCTGAGACGGCTGTCCATCCCAGGCATGGTTGTCTGCAGCAGTCCATCCCAGGCGTGGTCTTCTGCGGCCGTCCATCCCAGGCATGGTCGTCTGCGGCGGTCCATCCCAGGCATGGTTGTCTTCTGCAGCAGTCCATCCCAGGCGTGATCGTCTTCTGCAGCAGTCCATCCCAGGCATGGTCGTCTGCAGCGGTCCATCCCAGGCATGGTCGTCTGCAGCGGTCCATTCCAGGCGGTCTCTCCGTTGGAATTACAGACTTCCCTTTGGCTCTCTGCTTCCTTCTCTGGCTTCCATCTTTGCACCTCCCCTGGTCTCTGATCAGGGCCTCTCTGAAGGGAGGAAATGGGCAGTGGACCTGGTGCCAGGAAGTCTTGGACTGTGCAACTTCCTCTCTGGCCCCAGCATTTCCCGAGTGGGATTTGGGGGCAGGACTGGGGCAGGTCTGGTGCTGGAAAGAGATTCTATTCCTGGCCTGAATGCCAACTTGTCTTCATTGCCCTGTTCCTCCCTCCCCGACCCTAGCCAATACTCTGGGGACAACTGAAGTAACCCAGCAGGCCGGCCTGTGACACAGGACAGGATATTTCATGAGGTCCACCTCACAGGACTTCTCTCCTGGGTCCTGCAGCCACCACCCTGCCAGCAGCCAAAAGCAGACAGCAGGGAAGGCTGGGCAGAGTCCAAAGGCTCAGCGTAGGTGAGGACGGGAACAGCTGAGCCACAGGTTAAGAAAGTCTGGGAACACTGGGGGAGGGACCCTGGGAGGAAGGGGTGGTCTGCAGGTGACCAGGTGGTCAGCTGTGGGGAGAAGGGGAGCCGTGTCAGCTGAGGAAGGCAGAAGGGACGGGAAGGAGGGGAAGTGGCCACCCCTGGAGTGGCCATTTCTGAGCACTGACCATTCAAGGTCAAACAGGATGTCTCCAGAGCATTTGGCGCCTGCGTGTGTGTGTGTGTGTGTGTGTGTGTGTGTGTGTGTGTGTGTGTGTGTGTGTGTGTATGTGTCCTTTTTCTGTTTCCCCTCCTCCTTGAGAAGCAAAAGCCAGGACTAGGAAGAGGTGGCTCTCCTCTGCATATTCTTGTAACACAAGTTTTCTGAGTAACTGGCCTGCTCTCCGCTGCAGGCACCTCAAAACTTAAGCCTTGTGTCTTCCGTGAGCCTGTCCTCTCCCACCGGCTCTCCATCCTTTGGTCTTCATCTCAGGTCTTTTCAGTGATGGTTTCCCTGCCCCTCTCTCACCCACCAGGATCTTGAGCACCAGCTGGAAGCATGTCCAGTCCCCAGACCTGCCTGTAAACCCTGCCTGCCCATTTCCCCAACTTAGGGAAGGCAGCGGCCAGCTTTCTTCTGCTCACATCACTGCCCAAAGTGGCCCACGAGTGACTGACTCTGACCTGTTAGTCCTAGGAAGGTTTGGCTTCGCGCCCATGGACATTCCAGCTCCCTGCTTCTGCCCCCACCCCAGGAATGGGCAGGAGAGGAGAGGAGTAACTGAACTGGAACCACTCCTGAGAGAAGGAGCCTAGGAAAGGATTGAGAGGACTTTACAGAGCCAGGAGGCAGAGTCTGGATAAGGGGGGCCTGGGTACTTGTCTTCATCTTTCCCCATGATAGCTTAGCAATAGCCAAGGCAGAAGTCCAGAGACCCTGGGAGGGGGCTGGCATCCGGCATGAACTCCTCTACTGTTTATTTAGGGTCGGTCTCCAAGCTGCCTCTTTTCTGCAGTCCCTTGGAAGGCCAACACTTAACAACTTCTTCCACCCTCAAATGATGTGGCCAAAGCTTGTGAGTGACGTCAGCAGCACGGGACACGGGAGGAGGGAATAAGGAAGCATGAAGGAAGAGAACACCTTGAAAACAAACGGACTGAATCAGCCCTGCTCACTGCCCCACATCTGCAGGTCCCCAGCAGGCAGCGCCTGGTTTCCAGGGTTCCCCTTGACTTCATCTCCATCTGTAATCACGAAGCAAAGCGAGCAATTCTTTATTCCAGATACTATGCTGATTAGGGAGACTGATCAGATTAGTGTGGGAGGGAGATGAAAGGATAACCCCACTGGACTTTATGTTCCCAAAGCCTTGGTTGGTTGGTTGGTTTTTTTTTTTTTTTTTTTTTTTTTTTTTTTTTTGTCTGTCTGTCTCTCTCTCTGAGGCAGGGTCTCTGGTAGTCCAGGCTGGCCTTGAACTTGCTATGTAGCTGATGACAACTTTGGATCCTTTATTCTCTTGCCTCCTCCACTTCCCCAGTGCTGGGATTATAGGCATGTACCACAACTCATGCATTCGGTGCTGGTGCTGGAGTCCAGAGCTCTGTGCATGCTGGGCAAGCGCTCTATCAACTGGGCTAGCCCACCAGCCTGTTCCCAGCGATTGGGGGTGGCATCTGCTACCCAGTCTTACAGCACCATTCCTGGCAACTGTGGTAAATGTCAAATGGATTCGAGATTTTTATTAATGACCCTGAGGGACGACACTGAAGGATGAGGGAGGCGAGGCAGGGGTACCATCGCCATCAAGCGCACGTGCCGGGGGGTGTGGGGGGGAAGGTGTTGAATACACACCCAAGGGTGGCCCTACAATTTGCCATCAGGCTAACCTTCAGCACATTTCTTCACCTCTCTGTGCTCCACTTCCCTTACTTGCAAATAAAAGCTGTACGGGAAAGAAAATGGCATTTACGAGAGCTACCACTAAGATGAGTGGGCTGCCCACAGTAACTGCTGAGACCACCACTGGGCTGGAGCAGCCGCCCTGGGGAAAGGAGAGGCGTGCTATTGGTTGAACCAACCACCCAGGTGCCTGATTGGCTGGAGGAGAAGGGCGCTACCTTACAGGTTTCTTGCTTAGACAGTGGCAGGACTCCAGGAGCTGAGAGGCCCAAGCAGGGGGAGGAGCCCCCTGGGGCAGGAAGGGAGTGCTGGACACGTGGAGTTTTGAGGCTCCAGCACAAATCCAGGAAGCTGTGGGCTCAGTGTGTGCAAAGTCAGCTAAGAGGCCTTGTGGGAAGAGACACAGTCTAGAGTCAGAGCCCGGTTCTCAGAGCCTCCTTCAGCAACCCCACCTCCATGCCCAGTCCCCAGGAGAGCTACCATTCACCTCAAGAGACAGACAGGGTCCTAGGGGATCTGTATTCAGGCTGAAGCTCACTGAAGGGACAGCCTGTTATCAAGTGGATTTGATGTGCCTCTCACTCACATCACCTGTCTGTTCCTCTCTGAGCACCAGAGCCAGAAGGCCTAGGGCATTCTCATCTTTAAAGTCGGACTGCACAGATTCAGTGACCCCTTGGGTAGAATCACTCAGTGCCCTACTGCTCTCCAGTTGGAAGACCTTGAGCACATTATTTAACATCTTGGAGCCTCAGCTTCCCCATCTGAAAAATGGGACAATGATAATGCCATTTCACAGGACAATTAGGTGGATGTATATGAAGTATTAAGAACAGGGAGGGCCTAGTGCATGCTAACTCTAATTATTATTTATCTGTCCAAGACACCTGCCGGGCATGTAATGACAGCTGGGGAGGGTGGATACTGCCACAGGACACGGCATGATCACCTCCAAGATGAGCCATCTGGCCTGGGTGTCTTCTTCAGACATCCTTCCCCATCCCCAGACCCTCTGGGTCTCAGCCTCAATGGAACATCTAATGAGCAGTAATTGCACTGGCTAGGTCCCACCCCTCAATCCCGAGAAGACCCACAGCACTGGCAGGCGGCAGGAAACCTGACTCCCGCTAAGAAGGGACATCTAATCCTTTGGGTGGCTCTGGCCAGCAGTGACGAGGTAAGCCCAAAAACCAGCATTGTGGCTTCCTAGGACGGAGAGGATGAGGGCAGGATGGGGCCAATAAGTTTGGGACAGTCATTGTTGCCCATTTGAATGTCTTTCTTCGGCTGCTTCCTGTGTGTTCAGTACTTCTCTCGTGGCAAACAAAGGCAACCTGAGAAAAAGAGTTTGAATCACAGTGTGAAGGTCCAGGCCATCAAGGAGAAGGCGCGGTGACAGGAGCATTAGCTGGTCACTTCGCACTGGCAGCCAGGAAGGGTGAACGTGGAGCTCAGCTCACTTTGGCCTTTTCGTTCACGGAGGGACCCTGGTCTTCGGGGACGGTGCTGCCCTCATTCACAGTGGGTCTTATCTCTAAAGACACCTTCAAAGGTGCCCAGAGGTTTGTCCTCAGGTGCTTCTGAATCCTGTCAGATGGATAATGAATATTAGTGTCATTTACCCTGCCCAGCCCTGGCTGCCACACACACTGTCCCTTCTCGCATCTTAGTACCTGCTCACAAGGCATTGCGGTCTCGATAATGACAATATGGCCGAGAGAGCATACGCAGGCCATCCTGGGGGTGAAGCAGGGCCAGACAGCCTGGATAGGATTGTCACTGGGTAGGGAACACAGCCAGGAGCATGGTTAGATCAACAGGTAAGCAAGTGTCCTATCTCCTCTCTCAGTGTCTTTTCCCTCCTGCCCTAAGCGGGGCAACAGGAATAGGAAAGAGGGAATTTCCTGCTCCACACTCAGTTTCAGGGAACTCTTTTGCAAGACCTTCTAGGCATCCTGAGTGGCACCACGGAACCCCCCAAACCCCAACTCTTTCCCTGAAATGCTACCCATTTCCTCTCCTTTTAGGCCAAGTATCCAAGCCGTTCTCTAAGTTCTAGGAACTTGAGTTGTGGGCTGGACTCCTTCCCAGGTTTCTCTTCTTTGCTCAGAGGAGCAGGGAAATTTTCACTAGTGTGTCTCAAAGGGTGGGCACCACAGATGACCTGAAAATGTTTGTCCAAGGTACAGATTTTCTGTTTCATGCCAGTAAGATGGAATCAGAATTTGAGGAGTTAAAACGTCCATGCTAATATGCCCCAGGGAGAGAAAAATTGTTGAGAGACACATACGCACTAAAATTCAGGTTTTTAATGATGATTAAAATTCTTACATCAAGAAATCAGTTCTGGGTGGAAATGGGCTTATATGCTGGATTTAGCCCCCACCCCGCCCCCAGATTTAATGGCAGCGGGGAAGGAGAAGAGAAGGGGGGGCGAGAGGAGAGAGTCCTAGAACGCTGGGGGCGGGACCTGCGCCTTCTGCTAAACCCTCATTAATGTCCTGAGCAATTACCAGGCGTCACGGAAATCGCTGTCCCAGGTCACATTCTCTGTCCACTCGGAAGCAGGCGTGAGTGAGGCGAAGTGCTCGCCATCTGTGTGTCGGTGGAAGTGAGACCCAGAGGGTGTGGGGCCTCTGCCTTTACCTAGCCCGGCATAGGGGAGCACTGGGGGGTGAGAGGCGTGGTCCTCTGAAGTCCAGCCTGCCACAAATCCAAAGCCTGGCCAATCCACGCATCCACGCGACCCTCTCTCCATCTGGAATGCGGTCGCTCCCCTCCAGCCTCAACTTCCCAACCCGCAAGATCGAGAGGGCAGAAGTGGGAAGCCAGGCAGCGGGATTCCCCACAGGAAGGCTGCCTAGTTCCAACCCCGAGCTGCCGGAGACCCTGAACCCAAACGGGAGGCCGGACGCCCCTGGCCAGGAAGCAGCCCCAGCCCGGATTTCCCTCTCGGGTGGGGCGGCCATGACTCACTCCCTCCCCCTTCCCTAGTTTCCTTGTTTGCATTTCTCCTCCTGGCCACGTGGCGGCGGGTGCAGCCTTCACGGGCCCCTAACCCCGCACCGGGGCTGCGACAGGGGCATCCACCCGAAGGCACTTCCTACCCGCTGGGGCTTCGGGTCCGGAGCCCTGAACCCACTGACGCAGTCCCGGGTAGGGACTCCATCAGCTGTGGGTCGGGCCCCTTCCCCGATGTCCACCCCTACCGTAAAGCCTGTGCCTGTTCCCCGCCCCCTCGGCTTGTCCCGGGGAGGGGAAGGGGCGGGCAGCGCAGGGGGTGTGACAGCTCCCGCCCGGATCAGTGCCAGCTGCAGCTTCGCTTGAACGCCCTGTGCCAGCTGGCTCTTACATCTGGGACGGAGGCGGAGGCTCGACGCTCTTAGTCTTTGGGGAGGGGTGGGGGTTCCCCCACGCCCCCCACCCCACCCCCCAGCCCTCTACTCACCCTGGACGAGCCCCTCTGCCTAGCCCGGCGTCTTGCTACTCCGGACGACCTGTCCTGCTGGGAACTGGCCCGGGTGTCGCTGGCACCCACACCCCTCCAGGATTCCCGGGGCAGAGCTGTGCTGGAGCGCGCCAGGGATCCTCCAGCCTCTTGCTAAGAGCGTGCACCGCTGTGTGAGCTGGAGAAGAAACATGAAGGTGGGTAAGGTGGGGCCGGGGTTAGGGCCAAGGAAAGCTGCTGGAAAGGGCGGGAGAGGAAGCCGACACGTGGGGGAGTTTGGGTGGGAGAGGGTGGCGGGGAGGAGAGTTTGAGGCGAAGCTGCTTCTGGGGAGCTAGCTGGTGTGCATGCAGCCTCAAGCCGGGAGAGGTGGCCATGCCTGCAGGACACGGGCAGCGAGGCGGGGCAGAATTCCAGCGAGACTGAGAAGGGCCCCGTCTTTGTGAGCCAGCTGGAGACCCCTAGGTGCGCCAAGCCAGCAGGACCCGGGGCAGGTCTTCCTGTCCCTCCCCCGGCTCCTGGCAGGCTCTGCCGCACCTCCGCCTGAGCAGTCCAAGTCCAGAGGACGCTAAGCCTGGGCTTGGCAGTGTGGAGGTTCGGCTCCTCCAGCCGGATGACCGGCTGTCGACTTTTCTCCTCACCTCGCAGGTCAGCTGGCCAGGTGAGAACCACTGGCAGGTGGGCCCGGCTGTGGTGGAGAGTCCCGCGGTGGGGACACCGCCGGTGGGAAGTCTCCCTGACGTGGTCCCCGAGGGCACGCTGCTCGATATGGTGCTGAAGAGAATGCACCGTCCGCGGTGCTGCTCCTACCAGCTGGTGTTCGAGCACAGGCGGCCCAGCTGCATCCAGGGACTTCGCTGGGTGAGTACCCTCCAGCGGCCAGGCTGAACCAGGGCTGGGCTGGGCTGCCGTGCTGGGGGGCCGCCAGCTTGCTGCCGGCGTGCAGAGGAAAAGGTTTGGGTAGATAGAAGAAGGCAGGGTCCCTTGGTGGCCGTGTGTGTGGCTGATCATGTAACTGGAGCCTGTGTGTCTGTGGGTAGGGTGCCCCGTGTGTGAGGTGTGCTGGGCTGCCCCCCACCCCAGTAGGGCTTTATCGTTTATCCGTCGCCTCCGTGTGCCAGGCGTTGACTTACGTGTGTTGTGAGTTCTCTCTGGGTGGCAGCGGGAGATGGGCGGCCAGGTCAAGTGGGGGTAAAATTAGCTTGGTTACTGTTCTTGACACATCACCGTGGCAACGGTCTCCTTTAGTGAACAATTGAACTGGACTGAATCTGTTTCTTTTCCCCCTCTCTCCTGGGGTGAGGCATTTGTGTGGATAAAGCCTGGCACCGGGCCACCACGGGGACTGAAGAGGTTTCGGAGTGGCTAATGACTGCCTGAGGAAGGGGATGGGGAGGAGAGGGGCGAGTGGGGTGGGGTGGGGTGGGGTGGGGTGGGGTGGTAGGAGCCAGTCTTGAGAGGTAGTCTCTTCTCTCTTCCGAGCCACCAGGCTTGACAGTCCTATCTGTATGCTGTGTATACCCGTGTGTGTGTGTGTGTGTGTGTGTGTGTGTGTGTGTGTGTGTGTGTGTGTGTGTGTGTTGGGGGGCTGCCTCTACCCCAACTCCCCACGCAGGCTCTGGGCCACAGTGGTAGTTCCTGCTGGTTTCTAGTCACCTGCAACCCTCCCTCCCTCCGGCCTTCCCCTTCAGGCTATAATTACTTGTGCGTTTCCTGTCCCCTTCCCAGCTTGGAGAAGCTAGGTAGGAGGTGGGGAAGGTCAGTTACCAGGACAGTGAGGTCACTGGGGAATCTCCAGGGATCCAAAGCCAGGGAGAGGGTGGAGGAAGTCGCCGGCCAGTCTCCTAACTCCCCCAAGACTTCAGAAAGGAAGGAGCAGCTTGCATGGGAAGCTGGAAACATGAAAGTGGGGGCTGCTGGAATGTAAACAGGGTCAAAGGTCCAGAGACAAGGCCCACCTCTGCCATGCATGGGGGCGAGGAGGGGGGAGGGCTGATAACTAAAGTGTTTAGGTTTCTAGGGCTAGAGACCACGTCCCCCAACTCTCTATCATGCTCATCCCTGAGGGGTGGAGTGAGGTGGGACCAGTCGACCGTTGCCTGAGTTTAGGAGCTCTCTGGCCTCCTTTGAGGCTGCACCTCTTGACTCTCTTAAGGCTCCTTTGGCTCATGAAGTGTTCCCGTAAGGGAACAAGCCCCAGCAGGGTGTGAGCGTGTCCAGGGTGAAGAAGGTGAGCCCAGAGCCCAGGAAGACAGGGCTGGGCTGTTCAGGCTACACCCACCTCTTTAGAAAGCCCAGGAGAAAGTGGGTTTAAACTTTCTGAAGTTGAGTTCATCAGAGACCAGGACAAGAGGGGATGAAAGCCGGGTACACACAGCGGGGGGTGGGGGGTGGGGGTGGGGGCAGCTCTCAATTAGATGCAGAAAGGACTTACCAACTACAGCCATGTTGATACAGCGTGGGGTGACAAACACTTCTGAAAAACATGAGGGAGAGATGAAGTCTTGTATTATATGCGAGAGCAGGAGAAAGAGCGTGACCTTGGGTGAGCCCCACAGACTCAGGCAAGCTTGGAATGATTCTATTCGTATGACATTTTGGGAGGGGGAGGGACGTAGCTTTATCCCCAGAACAAATCCATCCACACTCCTTGTGTCCCGTGCCCTGTACCAGCTACATCTTGGTCTCATTAAATACACTCAGCAGCCTGGTGGGATCAATGCCAGTGGTTTCATCTTACAGATGTGAAAAGGGACGCACAGAGAGGTCAAGCAGCAGGAGACGGGCTGCCCAGCTGCCGAGTGAGTGGCCAAGCTGGGCTTCGTACCCAAGATCTACCTGCAGAATAGCTTTGATCCCCTCTGTGTCCCTGCTCCATGCACACCCTGGCCTAGGACCTTAGCCGGGACCGAAGGAACTGGTCTGGTGGGTCTCCACGCGGTCTGGCTCCCTGACTGACTGTCCTTCCAGCCAAGCTCCGATTCTTAGTGACAGGGAAGGAAGGGGTGGGGCAGGCCATCAGACTACTGTCAGCAGCCCCTTCCCACCTCGAATCCTCCCTGCCCTCAGCTGAGAAGCGTTGGTTGGTAGGTCATCACTTGACCCACACCAGCCATTTACTTTCCAGCTGAGAACCTCAAAACGATACTCAAGGGTCATGAGATCAAGACCAGGGCCAGCCACAGCCCGTCCGTCAAGGCGGTGGGAACACATAAGTGAGAAAGCTGGACTACGGCATTAACGTTTGCCAAGCAGTTTCTGTGAGGCAGGCACCATTCCATGGCCTTGAGATTATTAGCCTCTTTCAATAATACGATAATAACTCTCTGGGGTAGGTTTCCCCTTCCCAGACAAGAAGCTGGTCCATAGGGAGCTTAAGTCGGCATAAGGTCACGCACCCCCTGGCTACCATTCCAAAAGCAGCATTCGAACCCAGGCATCTGGCTCCGGAGGCCACACAGGTGCCCCCTGCCGCTGCTCATTAACGGTCCCCTCATTCCCAAGGTCCCCATCCGCAGGAGCATTGTAGGGGCACGGGAAGGCTGTGGTAACAAGCGCGTCCCTTGCTCTTCTGCCTACAGAATGTTCCCGAGGGCGGAATGCCTCTGCTCTTTCTGGGGCTGTGACCTGCCCCGAGGGAGGACAGGAGGGCTGCTGCCGAAAGCAAAGCAAGCGTGGGCTGGGGAGTCAGGCAGGCTCTGGTGTGAACGCTGTTTGCCACCTGTTAGGGTGGCTTATGTAACCTTTCTCTGGCTGTGAAATGGAATACAAACACCTGCTTCACACGGCAACAACACCTAGAATCTGGGCAACTGTGTGACCCTAGGCGGTGAGTTTGACGCTCAGGGCTTCAGCTCTCTCCAGCGAGATCAAATGCCTTATGGTTGCATTCTCAAGCTGCTGCTCTCCGACTCCCATGCCCATCCCTTGGGGTAGGGCAGGAAGTGACCAGCTTGGTCACGTGGCCTCTGAGGTCAGGATAATTCCAGGAAGGGTGGGCTAGGGATGCGCCTCAGTGGGCAGAGCGCTTGCTTAGCGGGCATGGAGCCCTGTGAGGTGGCAATTCCCCACGTCCTAGCACCGAGGAAGTGAGGCAAGATGATCAGATGTTCAAGGTCATCCTCAGCTGCTTAGTGACTTCAGCCTGGGCGGCCAGCGACCTTGCCTCCAAAACAAAACATCAAACAAAGCTTCGGAGATGGCTCTGTGGATAAGAGCATCTGCTGATCTTGCAGAGGCCCTGAGTTTAGTCCCTGGTAACATGTCAGGCAGCTCATAACTCCCTGTATCTCCAGTTCCAGGGAATCCGACACCTTCTTCTGACTTCTATGAGCACACACACGTGAGCACACGCGTGTGTGTGCACATATACACACACAAATCTAACAACAGTAATAACAGAGTTCACGCTAGGGCCTGGACTGTGGGCACCGATGGGAGCTGGGGCAGGAACTAGAGACTCGGGCATTTTGACATGAATAACAAGAAGTCATTAGCACTCGGGCACTGTTTGTTCCAACACAGGGCCTGGCTGGATAGCATTCCTGCCCTTCCTCCCTTCCTGGCTCCTCCTCCTCCTCATTTCCTGTCCTTAAGTCTCTAGGGCTGTGTGTCTGGCACGGGCTTGGGCCCGATGACCCGGGCAGGGATACCCTTGGGACACCTAGTGACTTCCGCCGAATGCTGGGCTAGGCACCCATGCCAGACCTCTCAACCTCTGCCGGGGTATAGTGACAAAATGCTTGTGCCTAAGACCTGCCAGGCTCGGGGAGAGGACTTGGATGCCAGCTCCCCAGCCAATGCTTTTCCAGGTCCTTGAGGGCAGGCAGGTGTGGTGGGTGGAATGGGACTGGTAAGGGAGATCATCTGGGTGGGAGCTTCGGTTTAGCCAAGGCTGGCTGGCAGTCCTGCGCGTGCGTGGCGGCCTTATGTGGGGTACTTGAATTCACCTCAAGACTTGTTTCCCTGTAAGTCACAAGGAAACAGACAGTCTCTGCTCTGCCTGCCGCACCTAGGATGGGGTGCTACCAGGGAGGTGGATATGCTCTGTGAGCTGTCAAGGGTGCTTTGGGAGGGCGTGTAGAGAGCAGGGTAGCCTACCCAGAGCTGTTCATAAACTCTCCGTTTTCAGACGATTGGAAAAGAGGGTTGTGAGGGGGCCTTCGTGGCTGATATGCCAGGGCACAGGTGTCCTGGAGTCCCTGGTAGTGACATTGCTCCCAAGAGCCTTGTTAACCAATGTGTCTATGGTAAACCAGTCTTATGGGCTGCCAAGGCCTTACCCACCCTTACGGGGCTGTGGCTTGCAGAATCTCGTAGAAACAAGCCTCCCAGCCGCAGTCTGTCCCTCCTGTACCTCACTGAATAACCAAAGCTGGCGTATGTACAACCGTACGCCTGGCAATGGTTAAACATGCGATCTGTGTCGGCTCCTGGGGGCCTTCCATGAGTTGCTTTGGTTCGCACCTCAGAGATTTCATACATAGAGATTTTGTTCAAGGTCACACCGTTAGTACAGAGCCTGGCTCCAGGGTTAGTGTTTTCATTAACGGAGCCCCAGCCTTACAGAGGGCCCTGTGGTTGGGCACAGACCTGAGCTTGGGGTCAAGCCTGCAGCCCCAGCTGGGAGCTGGTGTTCCCGGGCCTCCCAAGAGGTCCGTGCCCTGGCCTCTCATGCATCTTGTATCATGTTTTCCCACTTCCTCCAGCTCCATTCCAACCAACCCCACACAGGGCCTGTGTGCTTGGTAGCCTGAGCATGTGGGGACCCCGCCGGGTGAGCGGTGTAGATCTTGGGGGCCTCACCTGCAGCACACCGGTGTGGGAAAAAAATTATCTTCTGAGAAGGGCAGCATCATGGGGAACAGGTGGTGTCTTGCACACAGGGCGAGCAACACGTGTTTATTTATGGCAGAAAGGCTGCATTGGGGCCGAGACCTGGGCAGGGGCAGTAGTGAGTAGGCCAGGGAAGGGTCCCACACTGCGCGTGAAGGCCTTCCGCTGATGGGCAAATTCTCCCTCCTGCCCTCAGACACCACTTACCAACAGTGAGGAGTCGCTGGACTTCAGTGTGAGCCTGGAGCAGGTATGAGCAGCGGAAAGCGGGGCTGGGAGTGGGCTACAGGCTGCAGGCTGCAGGCCTCAGTTTATCCTGACCTCCCTCGCTTCATCCCAGGCCACCACAGAACGTGTACTCAAGGCAGGGAAACTCCTGCACCGCCATCTCCTGGCCACCTACCCCACCCTCATCCGAGACAGAAAATACCATCTCCGACTCTATCGGTGAGTGGCAGTGGGGGTCGGCTTTCCTTCCCTGCTCTCTCCTCCAGGCACTGGGGCCCAGCCCTGCTTTGTGGGGGAAGAACTGGGATTGGGCCCCGGATGGTGACTTTGGATTGAGATCCCCCTCACCCCCCCCACTTTGATTCTCTGGCCTCCTTCCATTTCCCACAGACAATGCTGCTCTGGCCGGGAGCTGGTGGATGGGATCTTGGCTCTGGGGCTTGGCGTCCATTCACGGAGCCAAGCTGTGGGCATCTGCCAGGTGTTGCTGGATGAGGGTGCCCTTTGCCATGGTGAGCCGAGCTCAGGTTGGGCACTAGGACTGGGTGGGGGTAGGGGGAGGGCTGACCCGAGGAGGACTGGACTCCGTTGGGAGATATGGAGGGGCTTAAGGCATTGTGGACGGGGTGTTGGTAGGAAGTCTGATACCTGGCCTAATTTTCTCTTCTCTGCCATGCCTGGGCCTTGGCTCCCCAGTAAAACATGACTGGACCTTCCAGGACCGAGATGCCCAATTCTACAGGTTCCCTGGACCAGAGCCAGAGCCTGCGGGAACTCATGATGTGGAAGAGGAACTTGTTGAGGCAACAGCCCTGCTCTCGCAGCGAGGGCCCGATGCCTTACTCACTGTGGCGCTCCGGAAGCCGTGAGTGGAGAGCCCTGCCCTCTGCCCCCACGCTCACACAGCCTCCAGTTAGACCTCAGAGGCTCCCAGAGTCATTTGGAGGAAGGGACCTAGGCAGGGTTAGAAGCCCAGCTCAGCTCTCTCTCCGTCGGCCTTGGACTTGTCATGTGATCTCAGCCCCCACATCCCAGACCGTTTCTCCTTCTGTTCCTGAGGGTGTTGGGCCAGAGGGTCTGAAGACCCTCCCCACTGGCAGAGGGTGTGGATTTTGGACGGAGGCAGGTCAGGGTTCACCTTCTAGCCCGACCAGCTACTCACTGGGTGACCGTGGGCCTCTTCAGCCCAGCTTCCTCTTCTGTCAAGTGAAGATAATATGCCCGTGTCATAGTTGTGAGCATGGAATGAAATAACGCATGAAAGGTGCTCAGCATGGTGCCTGGTACCCGGGGCTCACCCACAAAGCCTATTATTAACAGTGGATTGACTGATAGTTGTGGAGTCGCCATCTGGCTCCAGGCCCCAGGCCTGGCAGGCGGGCAGGCGGGCAGGCGGGGTGGCTCCTCTCTGGCTCCAGTTCTCAGGGCTCCCTCTGCTCCTGCAGCCCAGGTCAGCGAACAGATGAAGA